AAAGTTAATCTATCCTATTCGACCTTCTTCTCTTTTCTTCCCTTTCCTTTGTCTCTTGCTGAAATCCCCAACTTTCTACTCTTCCTTTCACAAGAAGCTTGGCCGAAATCAGCACATAAGGTTTTCTACTTATTATTCTATGTAAACGAGAGGTCATAGGTTCAAATCTTACGATTGCCATTTTATGATTTTTAATATATCAATGACCCAGGCGGTTGTTGAAAAATTTGCCAGTTTTCATGCGTTTCTAACAGTCATCTGTTTTTTCAGAAATTTGAAAAAACAAATGCTTTAAAAACTGGAATGGAACCAGTTCAAAACTTCTTACAGTCTGATCATCCGGTCTGGTTTGTGTTTTACAACATTGATCTTGAACACTCAGTTCATAAGCTACTTTGGTGATCTCCTGGCTTCTTACCACCTGATTTAATGCTCCAAATAATCATGTAAATGAAATCCCTTTTCTGGATCAAGTCTTAGATCATGTGGATGAATGATTTTGACTTGATCGATAATATCAGTAGATCTTATGATTTAGCATTTACTATCCATAACTGGACAGTTGGATCAATGTTTTCCATGTGCATTGCTGCCAATATAGATGCATTGTTTGTAAAATAATGTCCTTACTTTGCCATCTGAATATATTAATTTGCAGAATAGAAATTTCTTCTTTGTATTTACCAGTTCCCAGTCTATATTATAAGCTTCTAAGACCAGCTTTTTCTGTTGAATTTAGGGAAGCTGAAAATTTGAAGAAACCTTTCAGCCCTCCCCGTGAGATACATGTTCAAGTAACCCACTCCATGCCACCGCAAAAGGTTGAGATATTCAAATCCCTGGAGGATTGGGCTGAGCAGAACATCTTGGTACTCCTGAAGCCTGTTGAGAAGTCTTGGCAACCACAGGATTTTCTGCCAGACCCTGCCTCTGAGGGATTCTATGAGCAAGTCAAGGAATTGAGGGAGCGATCAAAGGAGATTCCTGATGACTACTTTGTTGTCTTGGTTGGAGATATGATTACAGAAGAAGCCCTTCCTACTTACCAAACAATGCTTAATACCCTAGATGGTGTTCGTGATGAAACAGGTGCAAGTCTTACTTCTTGGGCAGTGTGGACAAGAGCTTGGACTGCAGAAGAGAACAGGCATGGGGACCTTCTGAACAAGTATCTCTACTTGACTGGACGAGTAGATATGAAGCAAATTGAGAAGACAATTCAATATCTGATTGGGTCAGGAATGGTAAGATCATATCAGGACCTTGTGTATTTTGCTTGGTTAGCTAGTGTTGGTGTATGTATTCCATCAAGAAACTGTTATGTTGCATTTGGATTGCTGGGCTGGAATGGGAATTGTATTTTCTGCCTCAGTTTTATTTTTATCTTTTTCTGAACTTAAATGATTTGTTTCCCTAGGGAATTTCGAATCATCCAAGAATGCATTGAAGGCTTAAAATCCACTAGTTTCTAATATCTATGCTATGAAGAACCCAAATAGCAGGATCCGGAATGTGCAGAATTGGTTCCCCAATTTTGCACCTAGATTCAATTCTATCCTGATCTAAATACAGCCTTATAGTAGTTTTGTGCTATTAAGAACACAAATAGCAGGATCTGGAACTTGCAGAATTGGTCCATCAACTTTCCCCTAGGTCACATTCTACCCTGAATACCTGATCTGTAGTCTTGTAGTTTCTTCATGGACAATCAACTCCAATTGTCCTCTAGAGCCTTCCACACAAATTATTCTTGTTCTCTTTATATGTTTGGAGTATTGATTCATATAGATTAGGGCTAGTCAACTTCAAGCTTCCATGTAAAAAGGTTTTTTGGGCTAAAAATAGGATTCTCTTCAATTGTCAGGGGAAATATGTTGAACAATTCTGAAGAAATCAACATTGAATATTTATGATTAATCTAGAATGAAAGGAATGCTGGATCTTATTTTCTTTTATTTGTCAGTGCTTTCAATAAATTTCTAATTGCTTTTTTGATTTCTATGGTTATCTATTTTTAGTTCCTTGACGGCCACAAAAGCTTCCTCATGTTTCTTTTCTCAAATGACCTGCTAGTGGACTGTTACTCTGACATTTGGTTGTGCTTCAATACAAAGGGTATTTTTGTAGTGAAAAAATCTTTCACGAGTACAACAGAATCTGATAAGGGATTTCAAATGAGAAGAGGAAAATATAAAAGAACTGCCCGTGTAACACAATAAAAGAAACAACATTAACATCATCATAAGATACCCTCTTAAGATTCCCAGCAATGGCGGATATCAAAATTCAGAACCAAAAGCCAATCTAACCACATCCTCAAATTTTGAATCTACCAGCAGCTAATCTAAAATCAATAAATAAACAACTGCCCTTTCTTCTACCTATCTCGGAACTTCCCATGCAATATTCTTTTCCATCTCTCCTACCACAATCCCAATACTTCAACTGCAAAGGTTGAATACCACATGGTCCACAACCCCAACCAACCAACCACTGCTACTAGGCAACAAAAAATTGAAAACTTCAATTTTTTTTTTTTATTTTCTTCACTCCTTTATCTGAACAATTACAATTCATTCTTCACTCTTTCTTAATTATTATCTCCATCTCCCCTCTCATCAATTTCCTCAAAGATGGACTCTCTCTCTCTCTCTCTCTCTCTCTCTCTCTCAAATAATGCATTTGATGGTCAGATTATTAGCAACTTGAATTGCATACCATTTTGAACTGAGGGATTTACAACCCTTTACTGCTCAGTTTCTTCTAGAATTACTTTCAAACTGAATGATGTGGTTTACAATACACAATTCTCTCTATGATGTGTATGACTTCATTCTATGAAATTACACTTACTTTCACCTTATCTCTTTTTTTTTTCAATATTTTCATAGGATCCAAGGACTGAGAACAACCCATATCTTGGGTTCATCTACACATCGTTCCAGGAGAGAGCCACTTTCATCTCTCATGGGAACACTGCCAGGCTGGCCAAGGAGCATGGAGACTTGAAGCTAGCACAGATATGTGGGACTATAGCTGCTGATGAGAAGCGCCATGAGACTGCTTACACTAAGATTGTGGATAAACTTTTTGAGATTGACCCAGATGGTACTGTTTTGGCATTTGCAGATATGATGAGGAAGAAAATCTCAATGCCTGCTCACCTGATGTATGATGGCCGGGATGACAACCTTTTTGAACACTTCTCAGCTGTTGCACAGCGGCTTGGTGTCTACACAGCTAAGGACTATGCTGATATATTGGAGTTTTTAGTTGGTAGATGGAATGTGGAGAAGCTAACAGGTCTCTCTGGTGAGGGGAAGAAAGCCCAAGATTATGTATGTGGGTTGGCTCCAAGAATCAGAAGGCTAGAGGAGAGAGCTCAAGGGAGAGTGAAGCAAGCTCAGACAATTCCTTTCAGCTGGATATTTGATAGAGAAGTGATACTTTAAATGTGACGTGGAAGCAAGGTTAATTTCACCCTTTCAAAATATGTTCTTAAATCATAGCTAGAAATTGAAATCCTCTAATTGTATTCTCACTTTCACTCTATTGATTTCTTCCTTTTGTGCGAGAAGATGGGGAGGGGCTACTGATGCTTTAGGCTTATAGGGAGAGAGCTCTGTGAGGATGGTATGGCATAGCACAGGTTATCTAGTCATCGTTATGATACTTGCTTTTCTTATGCTCATTAAACATTAAATGAGAGTTTCCTGTCTGATCTCATTGGATCTGCATAAATGAGGAATTATAAGTTGTCTTCTATTTAGTGAGCCGTATGAGAACAGTGGCATATGCAGCTGAGATCTTTGAGTCATTGTTATAATACATGTTTTCCTTATGCCTGGTAAACATTTAAAGAAAGTTTCCTTATCCATTGAGAGCATTGACAGCTAGACTTCAGATTCCAATAGCACCTTCTTATACTGCTACTGAATAGCAAGCATCTCTATTGTTTCTTGCTTGATGCCATGTTATCTATTTCATTATTGTTTCTTGGCATGTCTTTGTACCTTCATGTAGGCTACATGCAAGGTTCAAAATATCGATACTCCCGATCAGTATGGGTGAATCGATACTATTTTTTTAGTTTTTTTTTTTATTTTTTTTTCTGAAACCGGTTCTGGGGGCTGCTTTAAGTCTTCTCCATCCCCTGAACCGGTCAGACCCCCGATACACCCACTATAGGGGTGTATTGGTGGGGTCCCAGAATGATATGTATCGGTCGATACGGGCTGATACATGTCGATACTTTGAACCTTGGCTACATGTAATGGGAATGGCATGCTGCAGGATAAAATTGATTGGAGAAATAGATCAACAGAATAATTTTAAGGTATGTTTGGTTTGATAGAAAGGAAGAGAGAAACTGAAACAAATTTTGCAAAATTCCCAAGGTCTGGTTTGCAATGCGATTTCATTTGCACTTCGTTGAATGCAAATTGTACTTTTTATTTGTTATTTTTTAAATGAAGTAAATGTAAAATAAAGAAAAAGAAAATAAGATCCAAAGTAAAAGTTGACTAAAATTTACACTCTTTTGATTTCCACTCCTGTGCATTTGTGCTAATGCAAATGAATTTGCATTGTCATCTTCATTTGCATTGAGAGAATGGAGCAGGAATAAATGATGATAAAGATTGAGAGAGGACCAAACTTTATTACATTTGAGGGTTGCTATCGTTGTCATTTTCATTTTCATAGAGGAGAAGGAGTGAAAGGGCAAGAAAGAGATCGATATATAAATAAACCTATTTATTTGTCAAATTGAGAGATCTCAACTTCCTAATAGGATAACAATTATCATGAAAAAATTAGTTTTATTTTTTTAATGGTAAAACTGTAAAAGATAAAAGTATGTATTAAACTGGGGAAATCTTTGTAATTTGTCAACCAAAACCAATCCCAACACAATTATAGCATGTGTTAGAGTGGAGTTTGGGTTTGGCTGGTAAATTAAAGCTTGACTTTGGATTGGATCAGGCCTGAGCTCAAGGCCTAAGGGGCTGTTTAATAACAGCTGAAGATACTGAATCGAAAAGTTTATTATTTTGTCTTTTAGTGAATAAGATTTTAAGGAGGTTGTGATCTTTTTAATGGCTGAAACTGAAGTTTGGTAGACCATTATCTCCCTGAAAATTTTAGTATTTAATTAATAATTTCTTCACTTCAGTAACTTCAGCTATTATCAAAGGGCCTCTAAGTCTTAAGTCTTAGGGTTGGGCCTGGATTGACCCTTAATCCAATCATTTCCTATGAATCGGAGACACTTGCGAAAGGCCCACTACCCAAGCACCCATCTCAAGACCACCAAGTCTTAGGTTTCTAGACACCCTACATGGCTCTGCAAAATGGTTTGTCTTTGTCCATTTGATTTGTTTTAGCTTAAAAAATTAATACCTACTTGTTGGGGAAGTTAGTTGAATGTTATTTTCATGTCACTTCATTTATCATACATGACATTTGTAATTAATTTTATGAATAATATATAGTATTCTGATCCCCAAGTTATTGGAGGAGTCAGAAGAGGTCGGGGTAGACCAACAACCACACGGGTTCAAGTTGTGAGAAATGATTTAAGTGCTAATAATTTGACCTATTAGCCTAATGATTCGGGATCTCTTGCTTATAAAGTGTATTGGGAACATCTCCCCGTGCATAATAACATTGAGGATGAGATATTTCTCATGTGTGGCTGTGATGTTATATGGGTAGGAAATCGAGAATCTTAACTAATTCATTGTTCTAATTTCTAAACGCATCTATTTACAGCCCTATCCTAACACATCTCTTTTCTGGAATATAGCCAGAATTTGGTCAAGTTCAGATTGGTTTGGTCTAGTACACACCTGCAGTGTGTCTCCTTGGCTTGCTGCCTCGGAGTGAAAGAGATGAAGATCGGTGGCATACCAAATGCTGCATCTTTCTTGTCGACCATAGTACTGCTTCTTAATCTCCACTGGCTGGCTCATGAAAGGATCTGATGGCACTGATGGTTTCGTTAAGGATCACTTGAAAAATTTATTAAGTATACACATTTATTTAATAAACGGAAACTATACCAAATACATACATAATAAATCAACATGTATAACAAAAGTACAATTAATAAACTATCAGATATCATTCATCAAAATTTACATGAATACCATGTACTCTAAAGTATAATATCCTTTAAGAACACAAATTACTGGCTTTTATAACTTGAAATGATCAACCAAATGGTTGTCAGCCAATTCTTTGCTAAAGAACTTGTTTTTGAACTCCGAGATGAGAAATTTACGATAAACGGCAGGTCTTTCAGGCGACAGTAGCTCCTCCAGCGGCCCGTAGTACTCAGAGTCGTCTCTGTGGCTAGCATTGAAGAAAGTGGCAACAGTGGTTCTTGGCTCCCAGAAACGATTGCCTATCACCCGGTGCACTGAGCTCTTGTATTCGTCGTTGGAAAGTATCTGAACAATGTCAAAAAGCAGACATGACCAGATTTTCTTTTTACTGTTGGAAAGTCTTCATTCATGTGGTTTCAATAATATGGCAAAGTAGGGTTTATCATTTTATTTTTTTTTTACATTTGTTCTCAAGAAAGTAATTGAAAATGCAACTAGAGGCTAGAGCCATCTAGGCCCGCCTTTTTCTGGCCCGGTTCTAGGCGCAGTAAAGCCTCAGATGGGCCTCCCAAGCCCGGTCAACAAATCAAGTATTAAGGCATCAGATGTATTGTGAGATGTGCCGCTTCAGTGTAATGTGGGTAGACCGCTGGTAGGGAAAACGAACTAGCACTTTTCCATATAGCATGGTTGTGTCTGCTTCAATATGAGTACATGACGCTCAATCTTATCAAGTTAGTTTTAGATGAATAGAATATAACAAAAAAAAAAAAGAAGTAATTTTACATGGAAATATGGGCTTTGTTCAGTCTTAACCTCTTATCTTCTTTCTTTTTCTTTTTCTTAAGGAAATTCTTAAATGGGTAAATCTATGATGGTATGGAAAGAGTTTTGAACAATCAAAACGTATGGTATGTAAAGTTCTAATTTCTAAACCTCAAAATTCATATATACTTGAAACTGAGGATAAAACCTCAAGTGATCTCGGTTCACCAGTCACCACTACTAGCATACTACAGAGTCTAGCTAGATTACTAGTCTTACCTGGAGAAAGTCTCCTATATTAATCACCAAAGCACCTGGCAAGGGTTTCACCCCCACCCAGTCTTCGCCATGCCTAACTTGTAATCCTTCAATCTGGTTCTGCAGCAACACTGATAGAACACTTGGGTCAGTGTGCGATGGAATCCCCATGGTCAGATGAGGTTGTGGACAGTGGGGGTAATAGTGACCAACCACGGCCATCCTTTCCAAGCATCTTAACTCCTTCAATTTCCCCGGCCTCACCCCCAACCCCTCGCACAGCAACTCCATTAGCGTCTCAGCAAGTTCTTTGACGTGCTCCGCCCATGCCACCACCTCTTTACGGCATACCGCCGGAACCCGATCGAGTTCAGATGGGTTTGATCCCAACCGCACGTAAATTGTGTCTCCCCAGCTTGCCGCCTTTGAACGGGTGAGGTCCAGATTGGGTGCGTACAGTACATTACATCTCTCGTCTCGTCTATAAAATTGCTTCTTGATCTCCACCGGCTGTTCATGGAAGCTCTTGATGGCAGCAATTGTCTGGTTGAGGATCAGTTCATGGATCCCATGATCTATAACTTGGAAGAAGCCCCATGTTCGTGCGGCTTCTCGGATTTCACGGACAACTTCCCGCCTCCGGTCGGAATGACTGCCAGAGAGACTAACGACGGGGACTGCGTTAATGGATGCTGAAGAGGGGATGAACCCGGTGAGACTTTCGGACGGGTGCACGAAGAATCGAGGAATGTAAGAGACGCCAGAGTCGGCCAAGCCTTTAACACCAATCTTGGATTCATCGAACTCTTTTACCTCTTTCATTCGATCGTACTGCATCTTTGCATCGTTAATTGCCATAGTCTCCTTCGAATGATTATTTAATTTCCAGCATGAATATAAGAGAGAGAGAGAGTATTGAGTTATCTCTATCTACATGAGCCAAATTTGGTTGGATCTACTCTTCACACAGGGCGCCCTCACTCGCGCTTCACACGCTTATAAGTTATTATTCACAGTAGATGCTCCTAATGCACAGTGAATGTATATGTGAGGCGCTCCTCTGTGAGGAGCAGATCCCGTTCTGGATTTGTAAAGAGTAAGAAAAGTGTAGAGACGGCAATTTGCTCGTGCCGAAGTTGGGGGAATCTGGATCTCCTACGACACTTAGAAGACACTGTATAGTAGGCTGCGTTTGGTTGTAATGCAAACGTAACTCATTTTTCGGTTTATGAATGCAAATACGGTTTATACGGTTTATATTTTAAATCGTTTTTACATTCATCTTATTTGTTTGAAATCGGTGCAAAGTGTGGTCTCATCATTAAATGCTTTAACTATCTTATACTCCAATGCTTTAATTTTGGCCAAAAAGTTAATTATCAAAAGAACAAAAAATTATATCCAAAAAATAGGTATAATAATACTCTCTCGTAAGAGTACAAAAGTGTAAGAAAGTATATTTTTTATTTAATAATCATTACTTTTCTGTATATCAAACAAACAATCACAAACGCGAACCAAGATACATAAATACCCCAATTCAATATTTAAATCACAAACAAAAGGAGCCTTAGGAATATCTCTTTATGGTAAATATGAAGATATTCCTTATGTACACCTAGAGTGTCCCATAGGTAGGAGTGGGTAAGATGCTTGTGATTGTGGGTAAGAGATTGAAGCTCCAGCTGGGGTGGGTTTTTTTTATTGATCCCTTCCTTTCCAACTAAAAGTGTGTATAATGCCAGTTGATTGTTTTCTACTTTTCTAGTGCCGTTGATTGATTATATGTTTTTCCCATATCATGTATTTCCTGCATTATAGTCTACTGTGTTTGTGTATATATGGCTTTTATATATTACATTACATTACATAACATAATATAATAGGTTCAAAAATAATTACTAGAATAATTAAGGAAGGGCAGACAAATTCGGGAATCCCACTTCTCCATAGCCCATAGAGATGGGTTTGAGATTAGGATTTTTAGCCCCGATGAGATACAGGTGAAGATAGAGCAGGGCATTTGAGTATGAAATTAAGGGCCGTTTTTTTTTTTAAGAGGGAAAAATTGGTCAATAAGATTTTGAATTTTGGTTCCCATTAATCAAGATACCTATTTTCTTTTTTCAAAATCGAATTTCCTGCATTTGGTTTCGTATATGCTAAGGTGTACTTCCAATCGAATTTTAACACGTTGAGGTTCACATGCACATCTGGCTCACATGTGCCATAAAATTATAGAAAATTTGTCCCGCTGTATTTTCTGTATAACATTTTTTGAAACTAAAAAAGATGTGAATTCATCTTCTTCCCCAACTCGACGACTGGAGAGTGACGGCTGGCTTCAGCCACGGTGACCGGAGGAGCAGCAGATCCCCTTCATATTCTAATTTCCCTAATAATCGACTTAGACTAGGGAGCTAAGACGGTAATAGTAGTAGGCTCGCCATTTTGGAGAGCGAAGTGTGTTGACCTGTGGGCCGGCACGGCCCAGCCCGCAGCCCGGCCTAGTACAGCCATGGCATAGTCCATATATATATTATATATATATATATATAATATTATATAAATTATAATTATATAATAATATATTAATAAAATAAATATATTTTTTTATTTTATTATACTAATTTATTTAATATTGTATATATAAGCAATTGTATACATAAAATTCATATAAAATTAAAATTTTAAATTTTTTAAATAAATAGCTTTGGCCTGATGCATGACTCAAGGCTCAGCCTACGGGCCAGCCCAGCCCACAACACGGCATAGGCCCTCATGGGCCTGGGCCGTGGGCAATGTCAGGCCAACCCCCAGAGTTTTCACTGGGGAGGGCAGCACGGACCGTAATGACCACAGGCCAGCATGGCACGGCTCATGCAAAGTGCGGGCTGCCCAAAGGCCGTGCCATGCCAACTCGGCACAACCCACTTTACAGTTCTAAGTACATCTCAGCATACATGAAACTATGTACAGCAAATTCAGACTCTTTTTTCATATTTACATGGGATCTAAGGAAAATTTATTTATTAATACTTGAAATAAAATTATCCCTTTTAATAATTGATTTTTTATAAATAAATTGACCATTTTCTTAGTTTACCTGAAAATAAAAGAAATATAGATAAATCCACTTATCTAAATAAGTATTTCTTACATTTTTACCTCGATAAATAATTTCCCGACAAGCAAATGAGGCCTAGGATGGAAGATGCAAAACCCGATGCCTCTCTGCCTCCTGCCATTCCTAGAAAAGACGTAGACAAAATCAATAATGTAATTACACGTGGTTATGAGCAGGTTAGGTGTCCAATTGGTGGTCACTCCTTTCAAGCCGAGGTGAGACAAGCAAAAAGATGTCAACACTAGCGGAATTGAGCATCAAAACGTCATTAGCAACAACAGTTTTACACGTTTTTTAAAATGAGAAAAGTTAGAATGCAAATACGTGTTTTAGTAGAGAGCCACAGAAAGTGCATGCTGGGGTTTAAGCCCAAACGAAACACGCAAGTGGGTAGAGACAGTCTGATCCCACATCTGGTCCTGTTATTTCGGATTTGGATGAGCCTCATTAATATTTTATTTGGATTTTGGAATCTGGTGTTGATTTGCCCTAACCAATCCGATTAGGATACAGTCCAATACGCATGGGCAGGGACTGTAGAGACATGTTTAGAGGGTCAAATGGGTGGGGTCAGGGACTCAGGGTCAGTGTGGGTTGTGATTAGACTTTTTAATTTACCGAGTAGCCTGATAGGATAGTCTGGCCTTGCCCGTTCTAAGTCAGGTTTGGACATAATTTTAGGTCTGTGGGTTTGGGTTTGGGTTGGGGCTCAACTTTTTCCGGATTGTGCTTGAGATTGGGCCTAACATTTTTTCGGATCAGGCTTGAGCTTTTTTAAAAAGGCCTGACCCAAATTAGAGCCCAACTTGATAATATATATATTAATTAATAAAAATATATACAATATTTTTCTATGTTCCTCTTCTCTTTTTTCAAGTAATAGTGAGATCTTTTATTATTTTTGAGTTTTGAAGGTTTTTAATATAAATAAAACACTTTTTTATTTAATAAAAAAGAAAATTCAATTTTTAAATTTCTAATCGTGTTCAAGCTCGGGCCTGGGCTTCGGGCTTTATATGAAGATTGGGCTTGGACTCAAGACCTAGGTCCAATGGTCAGGTCGGGCTCAAACTCGAGCCTGAATGCATTTTTTTATACATAGACAAATGGGTTAATATGGGTGGAAAATGGGTTAGCGGGTTAATATGGATGTGTTGATGCTCAACCCACACCACATCCAACCCAGCCCATCTATTTGCCACCCTTACTTTTCACGTTTCGAATGGAACATTAAAGGGTTTTAGGTTGTAGGATACTAAGACCTTCTTCATTGAAGTCTTCCTTTGTCTAGGGTTGTCAACAGTTCGGGTTTGGGTTGTAGGATAGTAAGACCTCCTCTACTTCATTGATGTCTTCCTTTGTCTACGCTGTCAACGGTTCAGTTTTGGGTCAGAACCAATTGGAATTGGAATTGGCTTAACATGAAAATGTTGACGACCCAAACCTGATAGGGTCTATAATTTTTGGATATGGAATCGAACTGATCAATTCTTGGGACAATTGGGTCTAACAAGATAAACCCGATTATAACAAATAAAAAATAAATATTTATGTTTAATATATATATATATACACAATATTGACCCTGACCCTTTCAACCCATCCATTCTAGCAGTGGGCAAACCATTAAGGCCAGGATGGATTGGGTCGAGGGAGTCCGTATACTGTAAACCCGTGGCTTCACAGGACGCATGAACCCGCCAATGAAAAGCTTCCACATCGGTTGGGTGCCATTCAATGTAATGTTAACAAGCCTTTCGCCGTTAAGTGAAGTGGTTGGTGGAACTGGATACAAAATGACAAAAATCTATATATCCTCTCAGTTCGAACTCTACTCCTCTCTCTCCTCCCTCCCATTTTTGTTTCTCCTCCACCGAACTCTACCCCACAAGCATAGCGAGTTCAATCCACACCGACGTCCGTCAAAGCATAAGCCACAAGCGATGAGAGGGAAATCATATGGCGGTATGTTCTTCGGTCGTTCTTCTTCTTCCTCTTCCTCTCCCTCTTCTTCTTTTTTCCTACAAGCTTAATATTCTTTGTGATTTTCCATTAAAGAATCGAAGCTCACACCGATAGTTACTAGTAATTTTTTTGGAAAAGTATATTGCTGAATTCTGAATTCCACTATAATCCTACATAATTCAAATGATAAATACCCTCATCCTAAAACATTAATATCAATTCCTGTATTGGCATCAATTCCGAACTAGCACCTACCCCAACTGAACAATAGAATTAAGAATTCTTAGAGTGTATTGAATAGTCATTCTATTGTTTTATTTGTTACTTCAAAAGAAGAAGAAACTAACACTTCTATGTTGATTCAGATGATTGCCGCCCTGCTCAAATTGTTATGACCTGGCCATCAGGCAATTCCGTGTGGAAGTTGACATCCACATAGCTGAGTCACTCTTTTATATCCCTAACAATTTGCCTCTCTGCTGATGAATTGGTTAACACAAGGCCTTTGGATCTTGGTAAAACTGTCGGTCAGGTGCTTGTCACCTACATCAAACCTCCAGATGGCATGTGGAAGTGCATATCCCTCGTAGATGGTAACAACATGTGTCACCCCTTCCCCACACTCCATCACAATTCCTAACAACAGTTCACTTCGCAATCCATCATCCCCATATAACAATAGGTTAATTTAATTTAATTGTAGAAGGAAAAGGTGTTAGCTAGAGAGATGACTTCTAAACATAAAAGAAACATCATATGAGCATTCTAAGTTCTAGAAACGAACTGAAATGAAGAGATACTGACTTTGAGCTATTGAGGTAAAGCTGGTGTCCATGGCTCTATTCCGATGCTAGAGACCTTCAGAAACACCTCTTCGGCTTTGCCACCTTCTCTTGTATTCTTCTCTATAAGAAACCGAACCAGACAACACCTTTCTCATTGCTGAACTGCAAAACTGAAAATAAAGCACAAGGGAGACTCTTCTCTTTAGTCATGGTTTCTCTCAACCAATGGATGGCTAGTACGTGTATGTATGTGTATAGGATTCTATTTATAGAGCCTAAACCGCCTAGAGAGGGGCCTTCCTTCATGGTTAAGGAACTGCAAAAACTAGAAGCTCCACAAACCATTAAATCTGAAACCATGCACTCCCTCTCTTAGTGGGAACTTTAGGTGGGCTTCTAGAATAGCTTGTCATTTCAGTAGCTAGCTCCAGACACCTCAAGCCACTATGAACTCTTGAATGAGTTCTAACAATCTCCCACTTGGCTGAGATGAATCTTTTTGTTTAACTTTATATGACCATCAATGACCTAGTATGGTGAACCTAAGGGTATCTATTCAGTTCAATTGAAACCACTATCCCCAAATCATTAAAGTCACTTGAATTTTGTCAATTTGACTCAAGACCATCGATGGTTATAGAGTTAGCAACTTCAACCAACATGAACAAACTACATGCATCGCTTAGACAACCTAAGCACGATCCACATATCTTTGTCTTACGTTATGTGTGCACACTTAAATTGAGAGAAAGAGTTATGTTTATCAAAATCAATAACTTTATTGTGATCACATACAATGGTGTCAATAAGACACCATTACACTCAATATAAATCCAATTGATCAAAACTGTCCACCAACCCTATGCGTGCTACATGCTCCAAAAAGAGCTTAGGTGAAGTCCTTTTGTTAATGGATCAGTCGGCATAAGTGTAGTACTAATATGTTATTGACACAATCTGATCTTGAACCCTTTCCCTCACAACAAGGTACTTGATGTCAATGTGCTTCAACCTTGTTCTTGTTTTGTTATTCTTTGAGAGAAACATGGCAACAACATTATCACAACAAATCCTCATCAATCTCTGAATGGAGTCCACTACTCAAAAACTTGAGATAAAATACGTAACCATATGACATGACCAGTTGCTTCATAACAGGCTATGGATTCTTCTTCCATAGTATATGAAGCAGTTCTTGCAGTTTGTTTTGCACTTCTCCATGAAATAGGCCCTTCCGCCATCATGAAGATATAAACAGAGGTAGATGCACGAGTATCCCGACATCCAACAAAGTTGGAATTTGTAATACCCTATTACCTCCAAGTTTTTTGAGTGCTTATAAATGAGCATATAATTCTTAGTCCCTTGCAAATAGTGCATGACTTTCTTGGTTGCCTTCCAATGATTGATACTAGGATTCCTTTGGTATCTTCCAAGCATACCAATAGTAAATGCTATATTAGGACGGGTACATACATCTGCGTACATAAGACTTCCCACAACCAATGCATAGGGAATGTTGTTCATCTGCTCTTGTTCTAATTAGTTCTTAGGGCATTGAAGTAAACTGAATTTATCTCCTTTTACCACAAAGGTAGTAATGCTAGCACAATTTTGCATGTTAAACCTTTTAATCACCTTTTCTATATATGCTTTCTAGGATAAACCCAGGATACTACGGGACTGATCTCGGAAAATCTGAATGCCTAAAACATAAGAGGCTTCATCGAGATCCTTCATATCGAAATTGCTTGATAAAAACCTTTTGGTCTTGCATAACATTGCAAGATTGTTACTAGCAAGCAAGATATCATCAACATATATATATGGTTAAGATGATGTAATTGCTCCCACTGACCTTCAGGTATATACATTGGTCAACAATATTTTTCTTAAATCTATAATTACACAAAATACTATGGAATTTTAGGTACCATTGTCGAGATGCCAGCTTCAGACCATAAATGGATTTTTTTAATTTACAAACTAAGGCTCTGTTTGGCAAATATTTTTGAAAGATCTAGTGGGCTTTTAGAAGTCCGGTAGACCAAAAACCGTCTTTTTTTGTTTGGATAATGAAAGTCCATCTCTCTCTCTCTCTCTCTCTCTCTCTCTATCTATCTATCTATCTATCTATCTATCTATCTATCTATCTATCTATCTATCTATATATATATATATATATATATATATTAAAATTGGACGGTCCATGTCAACATGTCTCTCCTTTGAGAGAAGCTATTTATCTATTTTCTCCATTTTTTACATTTATTCATATTTTCTTTTGTTTTAAAAATATAAAACAATAATTATTGCTTATCTTGATTAGATTAATAAAGCTTCACTTATTAGAGATAAACCTTTGGATTTTCTAAAGCCTCTTATTTTAATGCATGTTATTATTACACTTACAAAAGACATTTAAGAGAGAGAGACCCCTCGATTTTCCTAGGCCTCTTATTTTAATGCATGTTATTATTATATTTAAGAGAGAGAGAGAGAGAGAATAGTAATAATATAAATCAAAGTTTTTACAACCAAATCGAACAATAAACCAGTCAGAGGTCTGGTTCCTGGGTCGAACGGTTCGACTGTTCGAACCAGAGGATGGTCTATTCGAACCATTGGACAGTTCAAACGGTTTGACCACCCGAGTCAACGGTTTTTGGTGAAATAACGGTTCTGGGGTAAAACGGAACTGGTCACCTAACCGGTTCCCGGTTTTTCTAGTCCGGTCTGGTTTTGAAAACCACGATATAAATCAAATAATATAAATAGGTTGAGGTAAAACAATCAGAAAACTATTAATTTAAAAATCCATTAAACTCTCACTAAAAACAAATATTAACAAAACTTAGTAAATATTAAAAATGTGTTTCAATTCCACTTAAAAATCCAACTTAATAAACAATAATAAAAATAAGAAATTTAAATATAAAAATATTAATTGATAGTTTTAAAATGCCAAAAATTAATTAGAAATCCAAAAAATTATGAAAAACTAAACATAATTAAAATACTAAAAATATTGAAAATTAACAATATTTTATATTAAATATCATATATATATATTTGAGCTGGCTCGCGAGCGTCACGAGCTCGATTGAAACCGAGCTGAGCCAAGCTCGAGCAGCTCGTGAAAAGCTTGACTCGTTGCCACCCCTATGTATACATCAAAAATCATATGAAATAAAAATTTAAACATCTTTTTCATTTTTTTTAAATGGATCTATCATAACTTGGCCCGGTCCACGGCCTGGCCTGGCCCAAGGCTTGACCTAGCACGACTCGATTTACATCTCTACTTGAACGCGTTCAATACTAGGGACGGGGTGGGGAAATACGAGGATTCCCCATCCTTGATGAAGAGTGGGGTGCCTTGCCCCTAAACTTGCCCCCGACATTGAGGAGTGGTTGCCTTGCCTTGAACCCGCCTAAGACTAGGGACGGGGCGAGGATGGGGTAGAGTGTCTTGACTATGGGGTAGAAACAGGGATGGGGTGCCTCGCCCTGAACCCACCCCATTGTCATTCCTATATAATTTTAATTATTAGTGAAATTAATAAAAATGTTAGCTTTTTGTAATTTTTTATTTATTTAAATTTAGGGTAAATTACAAAGACCTCCCTTGTACTATGGGGTCTATGACAAAAACCCCCCTATACTTTGTTTTGCAACAAAGACCCCCTTGACCATTAAATCAGATGACGAAATGCATTAAATTACCAAAATACCCCACTAAAATTTTTCTTTTTTTTTTTTGCCCCTTTTCTCTTAAAACCTATTTAACCTATTCTTTTCCCTTTCTTCTCTTCTTTTCCCCTCCCTTACCATCCTCTCTCGTTCTTTCTCTCTCCTAACTCTCCGAAATGAACCGTGGCCTCCCTCACCGTCCTCTCTCATTATTTCTCTCTCCCAACCCTATTTAACCTATTGTTTACATGAATGAAGAACCCACAGTGCTCGTCAAAGATGGTCTTCTGTGGGTAGCCTGCAGCTAGCTGCTTCTTGACGTGGCTGGTCGAACCATGAGACGTTGCAGAGTAGACAAAGAGCCTATTTGGTTGGGTTGGCCCAGGAATTGAAGAGAACCATCGATCAAAGACGAAAAATTCACGCACCTAAGGGTGTCAATGGACCGGTTTTGGATTGGATCCCGTCCAATCCAAAATCAATTTAGACGGATTGGATGGACTAACAAGATATATTAGATTGGACCTGATCCGTCCATAACAAATTTATATTGGATTGGACTGGATTAAGCCAATATCTAGTCCATTGATATAAGATAAGAATATATGTATCAATGCATTGGGTTTGGGTTGAAACCAATCTAAATCAAAATGAATTTGAACAGATTGAACGGTCCAGACATTGAATTGGATCGGTCCAAATTAATCCAAAATATTCATTGAATTGGATTGGACCTGGTCCATTTATAATGGATTTACATTGGACTGGATTTAGTCCATCGGATTAGACCAAATCCAGTCCAATTGACACCCCTGTATATACCCTATTTATATAAAAAAAAATATGTGAGATATGCTCAAATACTTTTCACCTCCTTTACATTTTTTAATAAATTTCCTAGATGATTTAACATTCGAAATGATATTGAAAAGAATAATTAATTGAGTAGGAAAGAAAGTTACAACTAACTGTAAAGCTATTAAAGCCACTGGCTCCTGCTTTCTTATACTTTCCCTTTCCTTCCTCTCCCCTAATTCGTTTGCTGTGCCATTCCGATAAGGGTTGATTTATATATTGTTTCAGAAGTCTATAGATTCTTATTTGTACATATTCCAAAAGCAAGTAATTAGAGGCAATAGTTGGTTGTTCAGAGAATCAGAAAGAATGAAAAAATAATAATAATTAAGATTTTCTTGAAAAAAATTCCCAAAAGTTTTTGACTGGCCAGAAAGTGGATGCCATGGATTGCAGGTTTTATGGTTTCCAAAAGTTAAATTTCTGTTAAATGGTAGTTATTTATTCTTTGTATAAGTATTTAACATGCAAAGAGTGCAAAGTATAAAATTGATGTATAGGAGTTTTTCTCCGATCAAATGGTTTTTAGAAAATAGATGTTTTCTTTTAGGGTAAAAGAATTATTTAAAAAGAAGGTAGATTCTAGCTCTGAAATTCATATTTATACCCGTTACAATTAGGGGTGCAAATGAATCGGATCATGATTTGATCCAAAGTCCGATCCTATATTGTTGGATTTGGATATCTATCTTTCAAATTTTTGGATTGGATTGGATAATCGGATCTGAATAAAAATAGGATCGGATCGGATAATCGGATCTGATTAAAAATAGGATCGGATCGGATTTAGATCACCCCTATCTGATCCGAAAAGATCGGATCCGATATATATGTTATGTATTTATTTATTTATATATAACTATGTATGTATGCTATTTATTTATTTATAAATATGTTATTGGTATTGCATTTTTGTAAAATTTTTATATTATTTATTTTTTATAAAAACTTGTATATATATTGATGAAAATAGTTGAAAAAATACTTGTAATTTTTGTTTTTCTTTATTTAAACAGTTATATTTTTAATAATTTATTAATTCTTAAAAATTAATTCGGATTGAATCAGATTAAGATATCCGACATTTTGATCGAATTCAAATTCAAATCAGTATTTATGAGATCCAATTGGACCTTTGGATTAGATCTAGTGTTTTGGATGGGATTCGAATTCGATCCGATCTGTTTGCATCACTAATCACAACCAAATGCAATACAAAGTTTATAAACATGATGCAAAGTTTACTAAAATGAAAATTGAGTCTAAGACTCAGTTTGGAAGGAGTACAAATACAAATATATAGAGTGCAGAACCTTGTATTTTGTATGTATTTGTAATGTGCATATTTGTATCTGTCAAACCCGGCAGTCCAATTGCCATGTTTTGTTGAACTTAATATGGGTAAGGCATAAATTTACTAAAATGACAATTGAATCTAAGCTCATGACTGCCTCCTAATCTGTCAAACCTAGTCCTCGCGGCCATAATTGCTGCATTTGATAGAACTAAGGTGGCAGTCAAGGAAGAAAACCGCTGTCTTAGATTATGTAAACTGGCAATTCTATCAAGAGTCACTGTCTTTTGTTACTATGGCTGCGTTTGGAAATAATGCAAATGGAATATAAATCTCGGTTCATGGTAAATTTGCACTCTGATTCACTTTTTCCTATGTATTTACATCTACATAAGTATGTGTGCTTTTTGCACCCTTACCAAACACAAAAGGGAATTTCCTTTGCCTAGGCAAATGGGTTTTACAAGTGACTTTAACTCTCCCCTCATCCCCAAAACTCCCCTATACTTGCTTGATGAAGGCACCTTCCCTCACGTTAATTTCAAAAGGGGGAATATACTTGCTTTATTATTATACTTGAACCTCCTCCACTCACGTTAATAGACTGTTTTTTTCCGATTTTGAAAGGGGTGGAAGTCGGTCAAATGGGATTTTGGTTTTTATTGATAGAGATACTTATATATATATTTTTTTATTTATGTGAGATCCATAGAAAATTTATTTTTTCTAGGTATCACTTATCAGGTTAAGTACATGATACCCCATCTTTCATATAGAAAAAGTTTTCAACATTTGAATGGGACGAAATTACCCCTTTTGATAATAATTTTTTATGACTAAAACGGTCATTGTCTTATTTATTTAAGAAATAAAAAAGCATGGATAAGTAACTTCCCAAAAAACCTAGGCGGCCTAAAGTTTTCAAACTGTGGTAGAATCAACCAACCGGTAAATCCATCGCACAACTATGTTTCCAGGTCTGTTTCACACCTGAACTGAACTGCTTACAGAAAAATAAATGCAGAGAAACTACCAATTTACCAAGAAAAGAATCTGTCCCTCCTTTTAACGTGGGATGACATGGAACCAACTCAATTATAAGGTTGTTGGCCTGCAAATATCTGTTCATGTGTAATCTGTCCATGTCAGCTTATTCTCTTTTGCTTCTCATCTCTTTAGAATTTTTTAAGTTTTATTTTATTTTAAAAAACTAGGTGCAAGCAGGATTCGATCTCAAATCTCTGTTACAACCAGCAGGACACCTTAGCAACTGGTTGGCACAGATTTACCCTCTGAAACAAATATAGATTTTATCAAAACAAACTCCCTTAACCCAAGGTAAGCACTTCATATATATTTTCTTCCTGTAATTTCTAACCCTTTTGTAAAATGAAAAATCATTAGATTGCGTTCAATTAAACCAATTTGTCTTTCTTCCTTTGCCATGAGACTTTTGATCATAGCCCCATGTTCAATCAACACCTGCATTAATCTCTTATCTCTAAGCAAAACTTTTCCCAGGCATTAATTGCTTTATACATTTCTCTGTAAAAAATACTTATTATGCTATATATGCATATAATCCTTAGCCTCAATGTTCCAATCAATTATCATCTTCATGAGCATGTTCAACACATTCCTTTGATCCCAGCCCTCTTAAATCGCATCCAATCAAAAACCCCAAAAGTGGAATCTACACCATAGTCCCTAAAACGCCTAAGCAATAAAGATGTGCATTAAAATGTTTGGTTATAATTGAGCCCGAGAATCTAGCTATCCCACTCAAAACTTGAATCCTTCCATATTGATATAATCACTTAGAAAAAATAATTAATCACATCAAGGTCTCCAAAAGTGGTATCTAATTATCTTTCCACCGTAAGACTAAAACCTGAATTGTAATAGTGATTCCATTTGTAAAAATTATCACCTTTTGTAATCTATTTCTTCATTGCTACATGTCTTGTTCATCAGTATCCATGATTTAATAGGACAATAAAAGAATCTATACCATGTTTTAGAAACCCAATAGAAGCACTAAAACGCTAATTGGAGAATACTCATGAGTTGATGGGATTTTAGCTCAGGGATGTTAATTTTGTCTGTAAGGACATGTTTGGGGGGGTTGAGCTGAACATCCAGCTAAACTGGTATCGGCTGTTTTAAGGGAAAATTGCAGATTAATACCTTGTAAGTTGGGCTTAGTTTCACCCATATAAACTTTTTTTTTTTTGACTTCATGGGGCTACACAACTAGCTAGCCCATCCCCCAACCATGCTGCAGGTGGGTTTTGAGCCCAAGCCTTCGGCACCTTGCAACTGGTCCTTACCAACTTATCCATGTTCTCGTACTGCTATAATGGGATCCACATAAAACAAATTTCAAAGAGAGTAAGGGTGAGTACTATTCGGTTAAAATCGAAAATTTTGATTTCGATTATTTCGGTTCGGTTAATTTGGTTTTTAGAATTAGAATTTCGGCTAACCGAATTAGCCAAACTTTTTATTATTATATGTAATATATAACATATAATATATAATATACTGAAATTTGATTTCACAATATATATTTTATAATATATATAATGGAGTATATATTATTAAAATTCGGTTTTAACCGAAATAATCAAAAACCGAACCAAAAATTTTGGTTTCGGTTCGGTTTTAAAAATTTCGATTTATTTGATTTGATTTTTAACCAAATAAACCTAATGCTCACCGCTAACAGAGAGTACGCTACTTGGGCAACCGATACTCTCCTGAAGGATGGATAAAGTTACTCATCCACCCACGGAAAACGTAAGTGAAAGTGCCACTGAACACGCCACCAAAATTTACTCGAGCAAATAAGCACATCATCCAGATAATGAAAAACAAACGACGCCTTAAAAGTTCTTGGCTTAAACTACAGTTGGGGCCGAAATATGAGAGGGAGAGGATGGTAAATGACCAACCCTTGTTATTAACCTATAAATATTCTCAATCAATCTGTCACTTCTAATGTAACATTCCAAATATATAAGCTAAATTATCATAGTATGGCCAATATGATTGCTACAGAAAACGCACCAGTCAAGGGAAAGAAACCTGCGCTCCTTGCATGAGAATCACCACCTCGAGAACCACCCCTACCACCACCGGAGCTGCCAATGCCACCGCCACCACGACCCCCAGCAGCAAGGACAGTAGTTATTCTTGGGCTTCTCAGTAATCCAATCTCAATCTTTTCTTCTCCAGTGGCGCTTCATGCGAATGATAAGCTAGAAGCAAAAGGGTAGAAATAATTAGAGCTAGTGTAGCAGTTCATACTGATTATAAGAATGCTTGCATTCAAATTGATGCTATCTTTTTTACTCAAAATGCAAGAATACAAAATTGTCAGTGCAAAACTAAACAAACTTTGCATTTTTCTGATCCTGAGAGGTCATTAACACTTACCCAATCTCATCCCTTCTAATAAAAAAAATCCATAAAAAATCATAAATCACAAAAAAGAAAAAAAAATCGAAATAAGATCAAGCAAAAATATATATTTAGGCCAACATATCCCTACTTACCATAGACCTTACCATAGAGAGCCTGCAGTCACGGAGGTTTGATTTGATATCATGTTTTGTATTAGGAGGGGCACCAAATGACCATCTCAGCTACTTGGTCACGGCACAATGCAATTGATGGACCTTTAATTCTAAAATTGTTCATACATATTTACCCTCCTACCAGATCAACCTGAAACACAAAAAAAAAATACATGAGAAAATTATTACTTGATACATACTTAAAACCAGATATATCTTACACAAGGAAAATGGAAGATAAAAAACAAATCAAGACGATCAATTCATTGATGTTACTAAAAAGAACATATGTTCCAAGTTTAAGAGCACCAACTTGTGCAAAAAATGCGAGAGTTCAGGTCCATATCCAATCTACACGTCCCAAGACCCCAGATAACTGGGGCCGAAATTGGGTAATGGCCTTTTACTAAAAAGAATGAATAAACTCCATTCAGAAAACGAATGATGGGGTAAATTTATCTGACCATCCACCTGGACTTCAATGGTTTATTTGCAATCAAAGAAGATTACCAAGCAGGCTCTTTGCAGAAAAATCTGTCTTGAACAAATGAAAAAGGAATGGAAAATACAAATTGTGCCCATCTTAAATGGAAAAGAATCAACATATGTTTATTTTTCTTGCCATGTTTATCTGGATTGTAGCAGCCAAAGGGTTACTAAAGAAGGAAAACAAGAAAAGAACTATAATAACTGGGAATGAAAGAACTAGTGCTACAAGCCTTTTCTATCTTGCAGATAAATAAGAAGCATTTATTCAGTTAGTGGCAGGGAGTACAGTGAAGTGGTAAAATGTTGATGAAAAGGTAAGGACCAAGAGCGATCTAATTAGCCAGATAATTTCATTCAAAATGAAAAGGAGGTGAAAACTGCTAGTGGTGAAGATCAGGCAACAATACCCCCTAAAATCTTAGTGACCAGTTCGAACACAATACAGAAACTGATGATAGAATTGGAAAGAGGAGAATGGGAACACCGATTGATTTTAACTGCAGGTTTTGAAATTAAAGAATGGAGGAACATTTTAAACATTGTGGTGGAAAAATTGGGGAAAGAAACCAATGTTATTCTCATGCCATTTTATGACAAGAAAAAACTGTATTTGATGTGGGGACGAAGAAATAGAGTTTATGATGACAAGAAAGTTCAGTTTGGAAGGAGTACAAATACAAATATGTAGAGTGTAGAACCTTATATTTTGTATTATTTTTTATGTATTTGTACTGTACATATTTGCATTTGTACTCCTTCCAAACTGAGCCAGAGCAAGGTCTAGTTCTGGTGCAAAGACAGACTCCTTCGTGTAATGAGAAGATTGTAAAAGGAGGTAGTGCTAGGACTCCTGTTCCCTTTATGGAATGAGCCAGTCCTTGAAGAATCGCAAAATCCTTGGGAGGTATAGTTGAAGATTTGAATCTGAGAGACTTGTATGCTGCAAATCTTTGGATTGTATGGGTGAAACCTGAGAACATCCCTTGATCCATTGGTGTTCTCTCAGATGGTGTCTGGAATAAAGTGTGGTTGACTTTAGAAATCAAAGCGTCCTTCTGGAGAGGCGGTTCCATGGTTGAATACGATGGTGACCTGGCAATGTGGTGCACATATGGAGGAGAGGACAAGAGGAGATGTGCAAAGATTTTAGTGAACGAGGAAGGTGAACAGTCTACAAAGGAGGTTCGAATGAAGAAGTAATTTCAAAATCTTTTGAAAAAAGAGAGAAAGGGGCAGGAGTTAATTCTTTTGCTGATGTGGTTAAAAAAGGTACCCACTTCAATGTGAGATGGGGACCATTTGAAACTAAAGCAGTTTAGAGGGAACATTATCCGAACCAACTGGAAGGATCCCCAACTTAAGAGCTGAACTGGGTAAAGAAAAAACCAGTTCACATGACAACTTAAGTCATCATGTGAGCCAAGAGAAGGGCTTGGTTGGCAACAGGATTTTCCATCTATCATCTTCCCAAAAAGAATGGAAAGATGACACCGATTCCCAAAGATGCTCTTTACAGTGGGTTCCAAGGACAGATGCGCAAGATGATAGTGCTAAAATTTCTGTTATCGATCGCCCTAATCCAAGGTACACTACTGTTTGATTGGAAGAATGTTATGAAGATGTTGGTTGGGTGGATTGCAGTTCGGTGGAAGAAGAAGACTTAGATTCAGATTTAGACTCTAGCCTTGAGAGTGTGGGGAAGTTGCTCAAATTGAAAGCATTGTAGGGGAGACTCTAAATTNTGGAAGAAGAAGACTTAGATTCAGATTTAGACTCTAGCCTTGAGAGTGTGGGGAAGTTGCTCAAATTGAAAGCATTGTAGGGGAGACTCTAAATTTCAGGTACTTCATGCAGAAGAGAAAGGAGAGAAATTACAAGTTTTTTTGGATCCAATTGATGAAGTAGCAGAAGCAAATACTGCGATGCACAGTAAGGCTGATGGGGAGATGAACTGAAGCATGGACAAAGAGTTACCAGGGCCAAATAAAAATACTAAGCAAGGTCTCTGTAAGGAAATAGCCGAGGATCACTAGAGACTGAACAGGAATGTATTAGATAGGTAAAACAACAAGCTATGGGAAGCAATCAATGGATTGATAAAGAGATGGGAAGCAATCAATGGATTGACCAGTCACTATGTCCCCCCTTTGTTAGAGCCCGGGTAACTTCCTCAATTCAGTTTTAGCTTTTAGCTACTGTTGTGAGGATTATTTAATTGTTATTTTATAGTTGCTGTTAGTGGGTTGTCAGCTTAAGATGCTGTCAGTTAGTTATTTTCTTTCTTTCTTATTAGTTTGTTTCTAGGGAGTGCCGCCTGAGGCATACTTGTAATCTCCATTCTTTTTATATTAAGTTAATATAAATAATGAACTGGCGGCAGCCAGAAGTGGTTTTGTTCTTTTTCTCTCAATCATATCTTCCTCTTCTTCTCTTTCTCTCTCTCGTCTCTCTCTCTTCATGAATGATTACATGGTATCAGAGCAAGGTTCTGGGCTATAAAAGAATTGTGGTCTCTCCTATTTGAACCTACTTCGTCCTCTTTTCCTTCTTTGATTTCTTAGACATGGAAGACAGAGAAACCCTAGCAGACTATTTGCGGCTCTTCCTGTGGGTTCTTCCTTGGTTGTAATATCAAGGAAACCCTGTCGAAGAAGGGCGATGCAGAAATAAACTCCCTTTCTTCTCTGTTCAATGCTGTGAAGTCAGTTTCTGGTTGGCACCTTCGTACAGGTGCTGGACAGGGTATGTGTTCTTGTTTTTTTTGTTTTTTGGCCAATGGTGTGAAGGCCTTATTCCTTGGTTCTATACATTCGTTTGGATGCTGGATTGTTAGACTGTATGGGCTGTAGTCGGACTGATAGTATACTTTTCTAACGTCTGCCTTGGCTGGTGTTAGACTGATTACTGGGCTGTTTTAATGACTGAACCATCACTGAGTTGATTTCAGCAGTYTTTTTGTKTTCTTTTCCACATCCCAGAAGTAAATTTCTTGAGGGTTGGTATTCTGTTTGTGGCTGTTGTGTAGTTGTGTGGGATTTGGTTTGATTTCAGCAGTACTCTATGGCAAATTATGATTCAACTTCATTGAGGGTTACACCGACCCGTAGCACAGCTGGTATGGGAGGTGAAAACATGATGTTTCTCATGCCCATTACCCCTTTAAATGGTCTAAACTACCTGGAGTGGGCTAAAAGTGTAAAATTTTATGTAACGGTAAGGGGAAAAGCTGGTTACATAAATGGAAGGGTGAAAGAACCCAAGAGTGAGACAGTTGAACATGATAGGTGGGACCAAGAAAATAGTATGGTGATGTCTTGGCTCCTTGCAGCCATAGAACCTGATGTGAAGAAGAACTTTATGTGGGCAGACACCGTTAGTGAGATCTGGAAACAGGCCAAAACTACCTATTCTGAGCAAAGGCATTATACCAAGGTTTACCAGTTGCAAGCTGAATCCTCAACCTGTAAACAGGGAAATTGTAGTTTGTCTTCCTATTATTCAGCCCTTACTTCCATATGGAAAGAATTGGATCATTATCAGGTTATTGAGTGGAAACATGATGACGATGCTAAGGCCTACAGGAAGTTGGTTTCTCAGCAGCGTGTATTTGCCTTCTTATTGGGACTGAACCCTACCTATGAACCCTTGAGAGTTCAGATCTTAGGAAGCAAAGAGTTGTCGTCGGTTCACGAGGTATACTCCCTTGTTCAATCAGAAGAAAGTAGGCGGAGTGTGATGGTTACAACCGAGGGGGAGCAACAAGTTGCTTTGGCTGCAATGAGTAATAACAACATGGGGAAGAAAAGTGACACCAAGAAGG